ACATCAAAGATTGCTGACCACTTCATCCAGAGTTGTAGCTGAGGTAAGCGCCTCGGCAGGTACCTCCACTCACCGCAACAATATCACAAATCTTGTATAAGGTACGAAATAAAAAATTCCTGAGGTGGCCACCCCGGATGAAAGTAGACCCGACGAAAATTTTATCCCACTCTTGGAATGCAGAACATCTAAGAATTTTTTTTTCAGTAAGTTTGTCATGTAATATGATTATTAATAAAGCAACAAGTCTATGGTTCATTCACTCTTACGAAGAGCGCGGGAGCTCGCGATGAACTCGTTAGTTCATAAGAAGAGCCCAGGAGCTCACGAAGAACTCATTAGTCCATAATAAAAGCCTTAGAGTTCACGATGAACTTGTTAGTTTATAAAAAGAGCCCGGGAGTTTACGACGAACTCATTAGTCTGTACAAGAGCCTTGGAGCTCACGATGAACTCATTAGTTCATAAAAAGAGTCCTAGAGCTCATGATGAACTCGTTAGTTCATAAGAAGAGCCTGGGAGCTCACGACGAACTCATTAGCCCGTAATAAGAGCCTTAAAGCTCACGATGAACTCGTTACTTCATAAAAAGAGCCCAGGAGCTCACGATGAACTCGTTAGTTCGTAATAAGAGTCTTAGAGCTCACGATGAACTCATTAGTTCATAAAAAGAGCCCAAAAGCTCACGACGAACTCATTAGTCCGTAATAAGAGCCTTGAAGCTTACGACGAACTCATTAGTTCATAAAAAGAACCCTAAAATTTACGATGAATTCGTTAGTTCATAAAAAGAGTTCGGGTGCTCAAGACTAACTCGTTAGTTCATAAAAAGAGCTTGGAAGCTCAGCTCTGCACATCAGCAGTTATTCCTAACTTCTTTGCTTCAAAGAGTTCTGAACGACCCTTTGAAGTAGGGGGGAGGAGTTGAGGAATATCATAATTGATAAATGATAGAATAAAGCAACAAGTTGGAAAACAAAAGGAAATGAGAGCTATAAGCTGTAAATTAAACACAAAATGTTATAATTCTGAGATAATTAGCCCAAAGCTACAAAAAAAAAAAAACTTGCTCTACATCCTAAGTTTCTGATGGAGGAATAAGGCCAGAGCTCTGTTGGTCAATTATCGGAGCTGGGGCAGAAGCAAGCTCAGAAGCCGAAAGCTCAGCAGAAATGATGGGCAAATCAACAGAGTTTGGGGAAGATCCAACGAGGGGAGCTTCTGAATGTGGGGCCCCTGTAGAAGGTGGGAGAACTGAAGCCTCAGTGGCAAGGTCAGCAGGGGGGAGCTTTGTAGCAGGGACGTCTGAAGAGGCGGGGGGCTCACCTTCACCTTCTGCTTCAGCCACCTCTGTGTCTTCATCGTTGGGAACATCAAAGTCGAAATTCAGGCCAGGGTAGGTCTCCTCAGCTTTTTCTTGGAAAGCAAGCTACCCAGAGACCCATTTGGTTGCAACATCATCCCACAGCTTGACAATGTCTTTGTCCTTTGCAGATATAGCAGCATTCAGCCCTTCTAGCTCGCTGCAAAGGGCACCATTAGCATTAGATAAGGCAACAAAATTTCTTGTTAAACTTACAAAAGAGCTCTGAGTAGCAGAAACCTCCTGGCTAGCCTTGGCCCAGGCATCCCAAGTCTTTTTCTCCCCCTCCTCAGCTTTGGCCTTCGTAGCTTCTAAGCCCTCAATAGTGGAAGCCTATTTCCCCACTTGCGAAAGCAGCTCAGCCCATGCCCAAGCTCGCTTGAGCCAAGAGCTGGGGGGCAACTGATGATACCTAAAATAAATTTCAAGTGTTAAGCTCAGGAAGTCAGCTCGGACCAGGAGGTCAGGCACATTAGTAGAGGTCAGAAGGTAAGGGCCGAGTGTCTCTTAAGACAAGATAACAATTGGATAATTACGAGAGGATCCTAAAGCGTTAGGAGGCTGTAACCAAGGCACCCAATCTCAACCAACCAAGATCTTCTCCTAGAATTAAGGAGAAGCCCATGAAATAAGGGCAAAAATCTCAACCAAGATCCCACTGAATAGGGAACAGCCCTATAAATACTATGTAACGCCCCCAAAGAAGGAGGGAGGACCCTAGAGGCAAAAAATAGCCATTGTACTCTTGTAATCATCATTATTGAAAGGCGAGGAGCAAGAGTCTTCATTAAAGAGTGGATTAGCCGAGTTCCCGAACTGGTGAACCACTATACTTTTTCTGTGTTAATCTTCCCAGTCCCTAGAAAAATATTTTTTTCATTGTCACATCACCTTCACTGCAAAGCATAATTACGATTCATTACTCATACAATTTGGTTTACACCATCAAACACGAATCATACAAATTCAATAGTCATTTATTTTTTTTCTATAATCAATAAAAAAAAAGTATAACTTGCAAAAGCAAAAAATTAATTTAACAAAAAAAATATAGTTAACATGTAAAATATACAAGATTAAATTTAAATTATTGGACAACTCAGATATTAAGAGATATATTAAAAAAATATGCTTAACATTTAAAATATGCAAGAATAAATTTATATACAAATACGAATTATACAAATTTAATATTTAGTGAACAACACAAAACAACAATATTTGCTAAATAGTTCAAATCTAAATACCCGAGAAAAATGATACAAAATTACAAGTAAGATACACGATACAAAGTTATAAGAAATACTATGAAACGAATTATACAAATTCAATATTTAATGAATAACACGAAACAACAATTTTTACTAAATAATTCAATACTAGATAACGTTTAGTTTAAGAAAATATTCTTAATTTTTCTAATTGGTAATTTTTTATGGTATACAGTCTCTTAATGCACATATATTTGATTACGATTTTTTGTTTGTTACGTCGTGCCTTAAGGCACGGGCAATTGCTAGTATATATATATATATATATATATATATACTTGTTGTTAAATTCCTTATATAAATTTTGAATTATCTTTAATGCACCTTCATTCATGCGTATTTTTTTTTTTTTGAAAAGTGATTTTGTTTTCAAATTATATTTGATACACATTGATTCATGCATTTTTTTTTTTTGGAAAGTGGATTTAGTTTCAAATTAATTTATTTAATATTCAATTAGTGTAATAGTGTAACAATAACAATATAAAAGTGTAACAAATACACTATAACAAAAATAGTGTTCAGTAGTTTGTGCACGCAGTAATATATTCAAAACGGAGATAAACTATTTTGAATAAAATTATATGAAACTATATGGTTGACAAAATGTAATAGTATAATATTTTAAGCAAATAGCTTGTTACACTGTTATAGTTACACTATAATTGTTACAGTGTTATATTGTTATTGTTACACTATTTGGATATTAAATTAATTTAAAAATAAAACTACTTTCCAAAAAAAAAAAACACATGAATCAAAGTGCATTAAATATAATTTGAAAACAAAATCACTTTTAAAAAAAAAACGCATGAATCAAGGTACATTAAAGATAATTCAAAATTTAAATAAGAGATTTAACAATAAGTATATATATCATGTATTAGAGTTCTCTCACAAAACGAGGAGATGTTTAATGCACCACTTTTCAAAGAAAAAAACACATGGATTAATGGAGGGCAAAAATATCACAAACAAATCAATAAAATTCAAATAATATACTTAGATATAAATACGTATCAAAATTAAGGACTTAATTACCCAACATTTTTTTTTTGTGTACTTTTTTACAATTAAGTCTAATTTGATGTATCTTCTTCCAATTTCTCCAATTATGAGTTTAGTAACGGTGATACTACATTATTATTATTATTGCGTAATGTCATTATTTAATAAAAAATTAATATATTTATAAGTAAACCCTACTTAATTTAGTAACTATCTTATTCATGCTTGAAAATAACTACATATTTAATTATAAATTTATTATTAAATAATAACATTACGTGATAATAATAATATGATATCACTGTTACACCCGATATTTACTCCCTAATCTGACCTAGTCATACACGAAAATTTCCATTATTTGCACGTTTCGTTGCTTGTATTTCTATCAGGTCAACCAAATGAATATCTTTGGGGCAACACTTTGACCCATATTCTAGAAGCATGTGTGGATTAAACTTTGTTTTGTAACTAAATAAATCAAAATTGTAAAAGAGAAAAAATTATGTGAGGCAGGTCATTCACGTCGGGATTAGGGTATTTTATGAAGAATAAATCTCTTATAATCTGATCTTAATGGGTTGAAAAAATTTGAATTCATTACGTCTGAATTTACAACTCGTCCATTTTACTATTAGAACTACCCACTGAGATTGTTATTACACTTTTTTTGTAGCTTGAGTTGTCTCAGTCAATCACCGGAGTAGTTCTATATCTTGTGCAAAACCGCCTCTCTATAATTTGTGTAAATCTTGGGGGCGATGGCCCCAAGGCGTTTATATACCCGTGTAATATTTAAATCTCTGACTACACTTTGTTAAGATGCTTATCAAGTGATTGAGGCATTGAGCTACGATGTTAAAATTCTCATGTGATATATCTATTTGAATAATGATCATGAAAAGTGCAACCTTCATAGTGCAACTTTTGAATGCTTTTTTAATTTTATTCTAGTACTTAATCTTAGTTGTGACCAAATATTTATATAACATTACTCTATATAATTTATCCAATCTCATTCCATTCTCGTTTAATGGATTATCAGATACCAAATGCAAATTTAGCATTTTTTTTTTGTTGGTAAAAGCAATATTGGTAACTCATACTTTGTTGATCGGAGATTTCATAATCAGGTTGTAATCAAAGGATTGACCAATTGGGTCCAGCTTAGATGTCATCCTTTATTCTCTCGAGAGTTTTACAACCAACAGATCAAATGGTCAATCTTCGCCAAAAGAAATATTTTGTTTCTAGTCCATATCCACCGTCACGGTTGCGACAGATAAGACGATAAATTAAGTACAACTAACATTGTTGTACAACATGGTATCTCTATACCAACCAAACGGTACAAAATTTCAAAAACAAAATGGTGAAACCTTTTTTGGGGCACTACTGAGAACAGGGCCAGCCACTGTCTGAAGGTACGCATTGGCTAACATCTCTCCAAGATTGACCTGAGCAGGAGTACTAAGGTGCAAGTAATCAGGTCCCAACTGCAATCCCTTGGCATCCACACATCTTACATTCGGCAGGTCAACACCTAATTGAGCTTCTCTTACTTCATTTATATATGGTCCTTCTCCTGTTGCTAATGCCACCTAAACATACCAAACAAGAAACAATGAGTTGTCCGAGCTTATACCGTGTTGTTTACGAAGAACTCGGTGTCATTTGCCACATTATTCATGATAGGCAACAATTTGCAACTTCTCAAATAATTTTTCGAACCTTTACACAATAAATCTTTGAAGAAAACGGATATATTTTTTTTTCAGTCAAAAAAAGGGGGATGAACGATTAATAGATAATAAGCTCTAGCCATGACCACGAGGGTCTCCCGTTGTAGAATGTCCGATTTAAACTATAGTTATTAACATGGAAGGACAACGTGAATAAAATGGATGTTTATTAAGTTACGGATAAATTACACCTATACCATCTAAACTAACACCATTTTTACTTTTTGTCCTCTCAACTACCAAATTTCTTACGTTATAATCTCAATTGTATAATTAGTTTCACATTACCCCAATAAGTAACGTCCGTTACATATTTAACAAAAATTTATTTTAATTGTCTCCCAAATTATGTAATTTTTTTCACTTTATTCAAACAAGTCAACGATTTTCGTCCAAAAAAATAACAAATGTTTTTGATTGGGGCAATGTGAAACAAAAGTATTAGTTTAGGATACAATATGAAAAATCTAGTAGTTGAGGGGATAAAGTGGAAAAAAAGTGATATTTTAAGGAGTATAAGTGTAATTTATCCTTGAGTTAATAAACACACATTTACCTTGGTGATACTATGAACTAGGAGCTTACTTGGATCACAGGGAGCATTGGAGCCAGCAAATCATTGCGCAGGTCTGTAAAAAATTTCTCCAATCTTCTCTTGTACAGCTTCGCATCCTCTAAAGTCACTGTGTCACTCTCACCTTGATACCATAGAAGTGCTGTGATTGTCCCACCACCTTGCACCGCCGCTCCAGCCCTCCTCACCAGTTGGTTGTAAAGGAAGGTTCCTTGGGCCCACTCACTTATATTGGTTCCTCCAATAGCACAAGGCACCAAACCAACCACACCCAGGCTTGAGTCCTTGTCCAAAATATAATGGGCAAACGGCATACCTGGTCCTACTCCACAAGTTTTGTCAGTGTCAATGTCCTTGTGGAGTGGTTCATAAGCCTCTTCCCAGGAAAGTCCGGCACTTAGTCGGAGTATTGACGGGTTGGGGCGGCACTCAGGTGGTACAACACCGTCCCATGTCTGATTAACCACACCTCCTCTGCCACTCATATTGCTCTGTCCAGCCAACAAAAATATGCTCTTGGCGGGGGTGAGTGACTTGTCGTTGGGGCTCACCAACCTTGCGTAAGCAGAGAGGAGCAACCAAAGAAACAGCAACATAACTTTGCAGTCAAAGGTAGCAAATGATGATCAGAACCGTCAGTTCTCCTTGTCGGAGTAGTTAGCCCACACTGAAAGCAACAATGTGATTCCTGATCATCTTATTACTTTATACACCACTTGATCATTAATAATATTTTTTACTTCTCACCAACTCCTTCCTCCCCCATATATTTACTTCCCTCTTTGATGGTTTATCTATCTGTCAACTATGTCCTTGTTTAAGAATAAACTTACAATAGCTTAGTAGATGGATTAGTAGTCTAACAAGGCAGTTTTGTCGGTGAAGGAAAAATATCAGAAGCTCACAGCAAGGATATATTACAATATTTTTGATATATTAAAAGTGTAATGTGAAAATTTTAATATTTGAACATNCATTACAATATTTTTGATATATTAAAAGTGTAATGTGAAAATTTTAATATTTGAACATATACAATACAAAATTTTAAGCCTTTCAAAGTACAAAATGCAATTCTTCCTAATTTTAAATTTACGTTTACACTTGATTAGTTCCTACCTCATCCTCTAGCCAACCTACGTCAGAGTGCTCATATCATTGCAAGGTACCCCAAGATGACTTTTAGGTTGTGGGAATCTAGCTACATTGATTAGAATATCTTTAACCTCGATTCAACTTATAAAATTACTTTTCATACTCGATTAAAACTAGAATATGTATTACAAAATAAAAAGAAGAATTATGATATGTTAAGATTTGATAACTGTTTTTAAAGAAAAAAAAAAGAAGAAACAAGTGAAAGAGACGTCGTCTTTATGTGATTGTCACAAATAGTTGAATAATTGCTTGAGAGGCATAGACGTGAAAACAAGACAAAGAGAGGGACGCGAGTTTTATATTTGGGGTGAGTTTTTTCAAGCAAAACAACGTCATTTTATTAGAAAGAGGGTTAAAAAAAATTAAAACAAAATCATGCAATTCCTTCAATTCAAATTGAATCATATAGTTCAGATACGATTCTCGCTAAATACGATTTTGTAGTAAAATAAGAATCGAATGAAAATTAAATTGAATCGAATAATACGAATCGAATCACGAATTGTACAATTTTAATAATAATGTTTATTGATGATAATTGAAAAAAATGTTTCCCACGAAATACTAAATTGTAAAACTAAAATACACCTTTAAACACAAATATATAAGGTAAATTACATTCACAAAGTGCAGTTATTATCTATACANCCTTGTTTAAGAATAAACTTACAATAGCTTAGTAGATGGATTAGTAGTCTAACAAGGCAGTTTTGTCGGTGAAGGAAAAATATCAGAAGCTCACAGCAAGGATATATTACAATATTTTTGATATATTAAAAGTGTAATGTGAAAATTTTAATATTTGAACATATAAAATAAAAAATTTTAAGCCTTTCAAAGTACAAAATGCAATTCTTCCTAATTTTAAATTTACGTTTACACTTGATTAGTTCCTACCTCATCGTCTAGCCAACCTACGTCAGAGTGCTCATATCATTGCAAGGTACCCTAAGATGACTTTTAGGTTGTGGGAATCTAGCTACATTGATTAGAATATCTTTAACCTTGATTCAACTTATAAAATTACTTTTCATACTCGATTAAAACTAGAATATGTATTACATAATAAAAAGAAGAATTATGATATGTTAAGATTTGATAACTGTTTTTAAAGAAAAAAGAAAGAAGAAACAAGTGAAAGAGACGTCGTCTTTATGTGATTGTCACAAATAGTTGAATAATTGCTTGAGAGACATAGACGTGAAAACAAGACAAAGAGAGGGACGCGAGTTTTATATTTGGGGTGAGTTTTTTCAAGCAAAACAACGTCATTTCATTAGAAAGAGGGTTAAAAAAAATTAAAACAAATCATGCAATTCCTTCAATTCAAATTGAATCATATGGTTCAGATACGATTCTCGCTAAATACGATTTTGTAGTAAAATAAGAATCGAATGAAAATTAAATTGAATCGAATAATANGTTCAGATACGATTCTCGCTAAATACGATTTTGTAGTAAAATAAGAATCGAATGAAAATTAAATTGAATCGAATAATACGAATCGAATCACGAATTGTACAATTTTAATAATAATGTTTATTGATGATAATTGAAAAAAATGTTTCCCACGAAATACTAAATTGTAAAACTAAAATACACCTTTAAACACAAATATATAAGGTAAATTACATTCACAAAGTGCAGTTATTATCTATACAAGACGACATCTCATTGTGATTTGGATAAATTAACGCACGTTCTGAACCCTCCCCCATCGAAAGGTCTGTTTATTTTTTGGGCCCGAGTAAGATCAATCGGGAGTACACTATCTATTACACAAATATTCACGATTGAAATCTTGATCGAATGAAACAATTCAATCGCCTCCTCATGGCTTCCATGTTTGGCATAAATCGACGATAATATTATTGTCCACAACAAAGCATCCTTATATGGCATTTCATCGAATAAGTTGCGGACATAGCCAAGCCCGAAGCATTTTGCATTGATACAGGTAGTTTTATTTGACCCAATCTCATAATTGGAGAAATTAGAATGAAGAAGGCTCAACTTCTCTCTCTCTCTCTCANAAAAAAAATCATTTCCTTGATTTACCCTCGTGACAAATGTGAGGTATAAAGTCAAAAATATCCAAAAGTATCATAGAGATCTAGTGGACCACATTTAAGGCCCAATTTTCTTAATTTATTTAGAGTTCTTCAAAAATTGGTATACTTAATTAGACTTATTTGACCAAAAGTACATATAACAAAATATTTTAGAAAAAAGTACACAGCTGAATTACAAAGACATAAATACTCATTTTAGGGTCATTTAATTCAAAATCTCTTATCTTTAATGCACCTTGATTCATGTGTGTTTGTTAATACACATATATATAATAAAGTAGAATAAATTTAAATTTTGGAGACAAATAGTGACCTAGATCGTTTCATGACCAAAAACAATATTATCTAATGGACAACGTTATCTCAAATTGTCTCAAGCTACTAACGTCTCATATCGTTTTGATCCGATGTACCACATTAACTCTTTTGAAATATTTTTACTATTCAAAATTTATAGTTTCTAAAATTAATATTCCAAAATTTAATTTCCCCAAATCTTTTCCTTAAATCAAACAAATCTTTCTTTCTCATTCCTCTGTAGCTCTCTCTCTCACGCTCAATTCATGCAAAAGTATCAATTTTTCACAATATTTTTCTTTGTATCTCACAAAAATATCACAAAAATATTAGATAGTGTCTAATTCAAACAAATACTACATCTCTTTGTAGATTGATAATATATATCATATAGATAATATATTATAATAATATTCCTCTGTATCTCTCTCCAAAAGAAAATTATGTAATAAATATTAGATAGATAGTATATATCACGAAAATATTCCTATATATCTCTCTCTTTCATTCAAACAATACTACAAACACTGATGATACCTAAAGTAAATTCCAAGTGCTAAGCTTAGGAGGTCAGCTCGGACTAGGAGGTCAGGCACATTAGTAGAGGTCAGAGAGTAAGGGCCGAGTGTCTCTTAAAGCAAGATAACAGCTGGATAACCACGAAAGGATCCTAAAGCGTTAGGAGGCTGTAATCAAGACACCCAATCTCAACCAACCAAGATCTTCTCCTAGAATTAAGGAGAAGCCCACGAAATAAGAGCAAGAATCTCGGTCAAGATCCCACTAAATAGAGAACAACCCTATAAATACTATGTAACGCCCCTAAAGAAGGAAGGAGGACCCTAGAGGTAAAAAATAGCTATTGCACTCTTGTAATCATCATTATTGAAAGGCGAGGACCAAAAGTCTCCATTAAAGAGTGGATTAGCCGAGCTCCTGAGCTGGTGAACTACTATACTTTTTCTGTGTTAATCCTCCCAGCCCTTAGAAAAATATTTCTTTCATTATCACATCACCGTCACTGTAAAGCATAATTACGATTCTTTACTCATACAATTCGGTTTACACCATCAGTTTGATGCCGTCTGTGAGAACGACTGTTCCTGTTACAAATAAAGCTGATTTTTCAGTGACTGATGGTATCAACGCGAAACATGAGTTGAAGTCAGACCAATCCTCTACGGATGCAAGATTAACAGGAAGCCGCAAATAACAGACAATCCGAAAATGCACAAGAAGCCGATCCCCCAATAGGGGGCCTTTCCCATGAATAATGAGATGGAGGTCCTTCGTCTTGTCAATGAACGTCTGATAAAACAGAACGAAAAGCTCTTAAAACTCATACAACGCCTACAGGAGGCGTAACAACCCACCACCTAGGGAGCAACCACACCTCGACCCCCTCAGGGAAGTCAACGAAGAAGGAAAAAAATAGCCAAACCACGGGACCAGAACCTCGCATACCCCCCAGGAATGGACACAACGAAGAAGTACAAAGTCAGAATGACGGGGGCGAGAGGAACGATTTTTTCCCCTATCAACAGGAAAGGAGAGAACAGTACTGAGAGCAGCGCTTCCAGGGTATCCAGCAAGAGCTCAACCACATGAAAGAAGCCGTGAGAGGCAAGGCTCCAGTTACGATGGATGCCTTGGTACAACAAACTGAATCTCCGTTCATCACTGGCGTGTTGCATTTTTCCCTCCCTTTGAAATTTAGAGTACCACAGATAGAGGTTTTTGATGGAACAAAGGATCCCGTAGATCACCTTAACACTTATAAGAACCAGATGAAGTTGCATGGATATCAGGATCCAGTGCGCTGCAGAGCCTTTGTCATCACGCTGAAAGGCTCAGCCCTGACGTGGTTCAATAGGCTCCCCCTTACCTCAATTTTCTCCTTTAAGGAGCTGTCCATATCCTTTCTATCTTACTTCACAAGAGCTCGAACGTACAGAAAGTCGAGTTATCACTTGTTGAATGTGAAGTAGGGACTCCAAGAGAACCTCAGATCCTATGTTCAGAGGTTCAACTCTGAATCACTAAAAGTGGATGTCCCAGACGAGAAATTTACCATTATTGCATTCGTAGCTGGTTTAGGCGTACAATCTAAAGACCTGATGTTCTCTATTTCAAAAAATCCCCAGGCCAGCATGACCGAAGTATTGGCCAAGGCAGAAAAGTACATAAACAACGAAGAAGCTCTCCTCTCAAAAGTGGGGAGCTCATCCATGCAAAAAGA